GAACATTTTCCAAAGTATTAATTTTCCTCTCTTCTTTCTCCAATATATGAACAGCTAAAACTTTCAATTTCAAAGACAAATGACACATGAAGATGCAATTTCAACCTGATATTGAAGGAAATATACCAGGGCAGTAAGTTGTGTGGCGAAAACCGTACAGATTAAAAACTAGACCTTTCCGTTACAAAAAAGACTAACTGAATCATAAACAAACTTATTTACCCTCAGCTCAGTGTTTAATATTGGAAGTATAGTTATAAATATTGCTAGCAATCTACTATATGTTAACCAAAAAATGGCCAGAGACCAAAAAAAATGGCTGATTTGAAAACTGAATTTTCAAATCAGCTGCCAACCCATGGCTAAAAGCCTAGTAAAGAAACATTATTTTAATGTAATTAAAAAGAAAACTAAATAAAACAGATCCATACTAAAACATAATTTGCATTAGTGTAGTAAGAAGTTGCTACAATACGCATATTAAAATATGGAGAAGAAATCAGAACTCCTAGCCGTGAAATGCCACCAGAAAGTGAGCAAATGTATCCTATGGCTTAATACCCCTAGATGGAAAACTGAACACTACTAGGCACTTAAAAATAATAGCCTGTGAAAAATCAGAGAGACTTTAACATAAGACATCCCACAATCACAGCACCAATTCAGATAGGTGGCCATTTCCTAGAGTAGGAATTATACATTTTCACCTCTCTCTGGAGAAGCTAATGCACCATTATGCTACTCAGTGTTACATAAAAAAAGTCTCCAAGATCATCGCTTTGCTTGTGAAAGTCTGAATTCTGCCATGGGGAGGTATATCCAATGATGAGAGAAACTCATTATCAGAAATAATGTCTGTTTTAATCAATATTAAATGTATCAAAATATTGGCTTTTAATGTACCTATGTACTTCAAAATTTCCATACCTTGACACTTACTTTGTTAATATTCTTATTCTTCCTTCATAGAACAAAACTGATATAATATGCAAAACATTAAACAGAATAGGGATCATTTGATGGTAGCTGAGATGGATGTACCTGGGAGCCTCTGATTTGAGAACTAAGAGTCTAACTACTCTCTGAAAACTGCCAATGCTTTACCTACAATACAAACAAAATAAAGATTTAATTATTGCTTTCAGTCAAATCATAGAGATGGTATTTTCCTTCTACTAATTTTTAAGACTAAAACTATAGACAGAATGAAAGCTGCATTTAAAATTGGATGAGCCATTTTAAAAAGGGAATTTTGCCAAAGCAATTTTAAATCTGTTTACCTAGTTCAACAGCGTATATGACTAAGAATACTTTTAAACAATGGGAAAATAATACAATGTTTGAATTGATTTTATAATTCCTTTAAATTTTACTTGTACTCTCAATATTTTCCTAAGTGCCAAATTTCACTGATATATATATACATACACACACACACATATACATATATATATATGTTCCCTTTCTAGACCAATGGCCTCCTATTTCTCTTATGCTTTATTCAGGCAAGGTAGAAGTTTTCTTTTTTTTTTTTATTTTTTAATTCTTTCCGTGTCACTTTTCTGTAGTACAGTTATTCAACAGAACAATTGTAATCCTAACAGTTTCCTCAGAAAACTCTCAGAAAGTCAGATGATAAAAATGCTGTGTGAGTGCATGGAAATTATATTGTGTCTTCTGTGGTAATAGCTATAAATTTATTCATTGCATTTTTCAGAACAAACTACTTTGAAATTTTCACAGAAAATTTGAAGAAAAAAATTACCGAGCTGTCCAGGAAGCCATTTCCATCCGTGTCGTAGAGGCGAAACATGACTAGAAACAAAAGAGGTGTTGGAAGCAAGGTTACGGGCAAGGAAGATCAATGCTAGAATAAGGCATATTCTTTAAAATTCATTTTCTGTTGAAAACAAATACTGCTAAATCCTCTCCCTGTTCAAAGCAATTTATCTGTGGGATCATTTCTCAAGCTTTAAAAATGAACTAGTCATTAATAAAAATACTGGATATCAAATATAAATTCTATCCATTTTTGTTAAATAGCTAGGAAACACTACAAAGCACCATTGTCCAAATTGTTTATTGTAAGATCATTAAATGGAAATTCAAAAACCACAGAAGAGTTCAGACATTTAGACTCTGGATATTAAAAGACTGAGTGGGTAAGAAGAAAAAAATTGATTTCAGAGTCTAGAAATCAATTATAATTTGGAATGTGCCATTCACTATTAGATGAGCTTAGGGAAACACTGTTTTCTCATCTGTAAACTGAGAATAATCACCGTGGTAAGACACACATCTGTTGTGACAGTTAAGTGAGGTGATGACACACAAACACGCATCAATAGCTCCAGGGCAGTACACAAAAATAAGCCATTGTTTTCACTGATCCTTAAGCCGTATGGGAAGGAAAAAAAATTAATGCAAAATAAGGGAATTTTTCTGATGGAGGACGCCAAGACATAAATGTGTTATTAACATGGCTATCACAGTGTATTTATTTAAATATGAGATGTAGTTGCATAAGGTAATTCCTCTGCACCAATCAAACAAGGAGAAGGCCAGGGCTGGCTCCGTGGTAAGGCGCTCAGGAAAGCAGGGTGACAGTTCCCTGGCTGGCCTGGGGACTCCCTTGTATAACTCACATGCCCCAAGACCACAGAAGAGGCTGCAGAAGGAGTGAAAATCATACAGACAGAAGTCCCAGACGTCAAATGAAAGACATAAGAGGGAAAAAAAGAAACTGGAAAACAGGAAAATAAAAAAAATATATAATAACTCAAAGTTCAGTCTTACAGTTTTCACATCCAAAATTGGTGATTCCAGAAAGACTGAACAGTAAAATTAAGGAAAAGGTAACTAACAATGAATAGATGAGAGAACAGATGGAGAGCTGAAGTTTTCAAACAGAATTTAGGGCAGAGGATTAGGGAGTTAGTTATAAAAGAATGGAGAAACCAAGCAAGCAAAGAAATTATGGCAGTTATTAATGCCATGGAAAATAAAAAAATTATTTGGCTCGGTAATCCTATAGGCCCTTTCCATTTTAAAATCATATTTGAAAAATATTGATAAAGCTAGTATCTATCTCAAACATTACAGTAAGACTATTCTTAGAATTTAAAAGTAGTTAATCTCCAAGGTCAAATGAATCACTGAACAAATAGGTCTTTTTTAAGTTAAAAAAATTTTTTAGACCTTATTTTTAAAACCAACACAATCAGGATATAGATTTTTAGGTGCAAAAGTAATGTAAGCCCAATATGAAAAGTAAACTGTCAACATAATAGATTCCAAAGGTGGGTCCCTGTTACAAAGTTACAAACTAGTTTAACCCACTGTTTTTCTATTTTTGCACTCATGTAATTATACTTTATGTGGAAACAATTATGTGCCCACACATGAATTTGGTTAAAAGATCAAAGGAAAGGCACATTATGTAATATGAGGGTAATCCTTTATCCCTAGAATTTGTGTCTTTTACAAAAGATTTACAAGTTTTTATCTATTTGTTTTCTCATTGAATGTTCTACCCTATATACTGGTGTTTTTGTACTTTGCATAATGATATAGAAATATTAATATGGAGATTGTTTTTAAAGATTGGAAGATTTTTTAGAAGGCATTTAAGCCAGAATTACTTTACTTCATAAATTTTTTACTGTTTTATATATTTCAAGACCTACTTAATAAACTATAAGGGTAGAGGGGAAAACAATTTGCTTAGAGTTTTTGACATCTAACATAATGCTGTAATATTTTCCCTTTTTTTCACAAAAGGAACAATAATAAAAACAAGGAAAGGCAGCTTTGCAGAATAAAAAGAACACTTAGTCAGTAGGTAAAAAATCATGCATTTCAATCACAGGTAGCTAAACTGGTGGCGTAATTAATAACCCCTCTCTGGGCTTTAGTTTTTCCATTGATACTATAGGAATGTTGACCAGATGATCTTTAAGGTTTTTTTCAATGTCAAATTTCAGTGGTTCTAAGATTATTACTATACGTAGCAGTAACTTAAACATACAGGTTAGTCTTCATTATCTGTCTGTCAGTGATCTATTTTCCATCTATTTTCTTTTTTTTTTTTAGTGAATATATTTTCAGTAAATGCAAACAAACTTCAAAGTTATTCTAGTTAAGTCATTAATAATTTGATAAACACTAACCCAAATGTGAACATCAAGTATTTTAAACTATAAATGTAGTATTATTTAATGCCTGAAATAACTCACTTTGTTTTTCTCTTGTCAAGCACCCATCGACTTCAGTACAATTCACTTAACTGTCATTTACTGAGCATCTATCTTTTGAAATACACACACACAAGGGGTAGGTGCAGTGTGAGAAGTTATACACAGTGCGAGGGTACAAGGAAGGAGAGCGAAATGAAGACAGCAAGGTTTCATGATGCGAGCCAGGCTTCAGGTGTAGACTGGACTGAATACGATCCACAGTAGGAAAGATATACACCTCCAGAAAACGCACATTATAAGCAAAGGCACGAAGGTGGAAAAATTCAGTCTGCCTGACTGAAAAGTGGATTCTTGTAACTGGGACGCTGTTGTGCATGTGTGCGGGGGTCAATGCCAAACGGGAGACTGGCCAACTAGGTTGGGGTCAAACTGTGGAGTGAGATTAGTTTACAGACGCTACATCAAGGACTAACTTTTATGTACTGTTCAACAGGGAACTATCAAAGGGACGCGCTTATCCTGAGTCAAAAGAGAAAGAGGAAAGACACAGAGTTTGACAAGCTTTAGGTAACATGAGAGGAAGTTGCAAGAACTGCTATCTGGTGAGTGAGTGATGATTAAATACGCTGGGGTTTGAAGCCAGGAAACAGCCAAACAAACCTGTAACTAGAAGTCAATAACCACACAAACGCTGAAGGCACTGGAGGCCAGCTGAGGTTTCAAGTAGAGATATAATCCACAGAGTTGCACATTTTTATTTCATTAGATCTCTGCCAAATCAGCATATGAGCCAACACACTGGGTGCCCGGACTCAGTGAGAAAGAACGACTGACACTGTGGACTATGGGTTCAGCCTGCATTTAAAGGGACTGGAGGCCCCAAAGAAGCAGACAAGCTCAGGAGGAAGGGAAGCGGGCAGTGACAAGAATTCTTAGCTGACTCTTATTTCACTTAACATGTATACAAACTAACAATGCGAAGGAATGTATGTGAGCAAATATTGGTTCATTTAATCCCCACGGCAAAAGACAGACATTATTATGATGCCATTCTACAGCTGGGGAAGCTGAGGCCTGAAGAGGTTTTAAACATGTGCCCAAATCACTCAGATAGTAAGTGTCAAAGCCAAGACTCACTCAATTAGTGAAATTAAGAGTCCAGGCTCTTGAGCATTGTGCTATACCCTATTTACATTAAATTGGGAAAGTGAGAAGTGAATGTACACTGTGGTCAAAGTGAAATACTAGAGTTTAAAATTCTAGGATAAGAGCATTCTTTGGAAATTACAAGGCTTGGGGTCACTGCAAGAAGAGTCAGTGGCTGAAAGAAGACAGAGGTGAGGTGACAGAATTGAAGGAATGTAAGGAGACTCAGAGGGATGTACTGAAAGGCTCTCCATAAAGGACTGCAGTTGGTTTGAGGTGAAGAGGGCGTATCAGCCCCGGTACAACGTTCTCATCTGGGCACCAGGGCGGCTGGTAATTAACACCAGCAAGGAGAGAGAAAAATAGGTTCCGCTCCACAACCTCAGCGCACACACACACACATACACACACACACACACACGCACACGCACTTTCTAAGGGTCCACGGGAGCAAGTGGATCAACACCTTCCACCTGAAAGGACCTCAGGACCGGCAGTGAGCTCAGTGAGGAACTAGCCCGGAATGAAGGGAAGCAGCAGAAGAGATGACATATGATCAGTAGGAAGTTCAAGAGCTTTTGTTAGCTTCCTTTCAATGAAAAGAAAAAGCTTCATTCTAAACACTTCGTAAATGCTCGGGGGATAGGAAGTGGTGGTGAGCTCTGAACAGATTTATGAAACGTTATTTGGGGAGGGAACTCTTCCTTTGATAAACATTTAAAACAATGATATTACTTTTTCTAATAACCCAGGTAAAAGAAACTGTCAAATACGGCCACCATTCAAGTCCAAGAAACAACTGTCATTTCAGATGACTTGTGTGATGGTGTGTGTGTGTGTGTGTTTTCATTGGACAGAAGGAATGCCATAAACCAATGCTTCTCAAAATGTGGTCCTTGGAGTCAGCATCGCCTGAGATGCAGATGCCAAGTCCCATTCCAGACCCGCGGGATCGCGCTTCCTGCGGTGGGGGCCCAGCTTGCTGTGTGTCCATAAGCCCTGCAGGTGACTCTTATGTGTGATAAAGCCCAAGGACCTCTGGCCTCAGCCAAGGTGTATATACTTCTTTCTGCTTAGCTACTTGGAAATTAAGATTCAAAAACAGTACTCACCTGCAAATGTTAATTACATTGGGTGCTTGATCGCTATCTATTTCTGTGTTAAGTTAAACTATTTACTTCTTTTCTTTCCTCTAGTATATATTGTGTCTGTTGAGTCATAACTATTTTGGAAATAAGTATATATTAAATTAACAACCATCAAATTTCTTTAAATTCTTATTGAAAAAAAAACCTTTATTGAAAGACTCTGTAATTAGGAAAGAATGTGTGGCATTCCTAACAATATTAGAAATTTTTAAAGGGTGATTGTAGAAGGGAAAGACGTGTAAGAAACCGTCGGCTAAGAAACCGAGTGAAAGAAATGGATTCTGATCTAACTGATGTAGGAAAGGGCCACATACTGGCATTTAAAAAACCAAGCAACCAACCGAACACACAAAAGCAAGCTCCAGATGAGTAAGGACCAGGTTAAGGTCCTCCCAACCTGAAGACAGTAGAGAAGAGAACCAGAACAAACTGGAACCTTAATGTGCCTCTGAAATTGAAATTCATTGACTCTGAAGACTCTGGGGGAAATCGCAGCAATAGAGCCAGGCTGTCACAACTCCATGAGAAGAGTCTGAAAAATGGCTAAGAGAAAAGGAAAATGCAACCACACCTGGTATGAGCTTGGAAAGAGCTGGAAAACTCAAAGAACAGAGGGAAGGGGACTGATAACACTGAAGAAAGGTAAGCGGCAGGTCAGGTTTGATGTGATTCATCCTGGTTTTTTCTTTTATTGTTTGTGGGTTAACATTCTGCCTTATCACTGTGGACAAAGACTGTTGATTCACAGATGGAAACTGAGGACTGAAAACATGCCTCTTAGGATTTCTACCTAGGATTTGTTTTTAAAAACATACACACAAATAAAGACAATATACACACACATACATACAGATACATACACACATATAGATATACATGTGTATATATACACACACACACACACACACGCATACACAGACACACACATATAATACTTCCAGTTGACCTAAAAATAATTAAGTTGGAACACAAAGACCATGTTGGAGAGAAGCGATGGTGCCTTTATTTATTCTCAGACCTGGAAAAGAATATTTGTCTCTGTATTTTTAAAATCATCCTAAACGTGGTCCTGATAACACCTGAGAAAACTCTCTCTGGCCATGACCTCAATAGAAATTCACTGAGCAATAATATTTATTTTGGAATGAGAGTGTTCCGTAGGTTCTTAGGAATACAAATACATCTTGAAGTGCAAATATTCAACATTTACAGCTAATAAATACGCATTTGAAGAATGATGTTCATGTGGTTTATTCATAACCTAAGCAGGCGTGACTCAAATATTATGGTAAATTCTTTGTTAGTAGGATACATATTATCAACAAGTTACTGTGAAATTTAATTAAACATGCTATCTAATAATTCGGAGATGTCACAATGTTCTGTATCTGCTTCAAGAAATATCACATTTAGGGTTCATTATCTTCACTATCATTTCAGTAGCAAGAATTTTTAATTCATTTGAATGATATACAATATAATGAAGTTAATCAGATTATGGAACAAACCATCAGCTCTGTATCTGGCAAGGGCTTTGGAGACAGAACGGATGATTAAATCATCATGCTTAGAGTAAAGGTTTGATGTTCTTGCCTTGCAATGAGTATAGTTTGCCACCAGAGGGGGCACTGTCACTGTATTTTATAAAAGAGCAACTATTTCCTTTCAACTAGATAGAAATTCTCTGACACGCCTGCTATATGGTAGAAGAAACAAAGCTTTTGTTTAATTATTTACAATATTCAGAGTCTAATTGCTTACAATATTCAGAGTCAAATCCTAGAATTGAAACTCTCATGTTTGGCATTTAAGAAATTATTTGTCCCTAGTAAAGAAAATTGGTGATGAAGGTTTCAAGGAAGATTTCCAGAGAGAGGCTCAAGTTGAGTGCATACAAGGAACCTCTTTTCTAACTAACAGGAAGATCCCTTCACATACTAGAAATAAATGGGTTTTTTTTTCCCCCAAAACAACTCAAAGGATAGCTTTCAATATCAGCTTGTTACCAAACTGGGTAAGATCTTTAAAATGTCATTTGACAATCATGCTCGAGAAATACTCAGTAATGAGTGGTACTTTATCAACAATAGCCTAAAACTGATAGATTCTTAATATCTTGTAATGGTCTGATTCTCAGCTGGAGGAACTTATTATTATTATCATTAACCAAGGTCACTTTATTTAATAAAAATTTAGACAGCCACAGTAGATGCGATTTTAAGTTTGTCCATACCCAGTCCCTTCCCCCACCCAACCATGATAAATAAACTAAGTGAAGAAGCACATACACTCCAGTTTATCCTCAGGTCTTCCTCTTTCAAGGAGAGACAGGTAACAGACAATGTCCTTCAGATGGATCACTTCTGGGGAACACGTATTTGCTGGAGAAGTGCGGGGAGGCGTGATGGCACCTTTACTCATTCTCAGACCTGGAAAAAAAAATATTTGTCTTTATAGTCTCAAAAATATTCACAGTGTTCTCAAACAAAAAAACCAACAAAGAAAATAGAGAGAGACTGCCTAGAGCATGTAGCAAGCTGTACATCTTCTTAGACATAAAATAACCAAATTCTCTGGTCTCCAGCACAGCAGAGACCGACATTCTATGGCTTCTGTAAGTAATGGGGAGCTCTTTGGGATCCGTGGACATGGGGACTGCTCTGCCTACCCACCGGAGGGTGTCCGGTCAGGCTTCTATTGCCCAGGCTGAGCTGGCCGACAGATTTCAAAGTGTGAGGAACTACTTTCCTATTCCCCTTTCTCTGCCTTACGCACTGACAGCTGTAAGTCAGCTGGGGAGATTGATAACCGGTCTTTCACAAAAATCTAAAGGACTGTGAGTCTGTCACAGTAAGATTTCTATGTTGATAATCAGGAATCATTCATACATAAAAGCATGTATTTATGTCAAATATTTGCCAGCCTCATGAATAACACATCCTTTTTGCCATCAAGGAATTCACCCATAAGGGAGAAAGGGAACGTAAACAAAAATCCGGATAAATATGACAGATTTAATGAGGGAGGTAAGAATATAAACTGCTGTTTGGTTTTAATATGGTCCACACACCTTGTTTCTGACACCCATTCACTGCACCTACTCTAGGACAAAGGTAGAGAACTCGAGTGCCCGTTCACAGCAGCGGATGACTGCAGATTACCTGGCCGATGACAGTTACACTGAAACTCTTTCACAATAGTTAGTTCCATCTTACAGAGAAGCCTCTGAAACCAGATCATACATATCTGAGAAGGTCTGTAGGTAAATCCCAATTATTCTTTGGGGTACACTTGGCCCTATAAAAGGAGTTTGGGTGAGATGGCTCATGGGCTGAATGACTATTAGAATCCCAGTCAACCAGGAGTTACTGGAAGGGAGAGAATGATCTTAGGCAAACACAGTTCTACCAGTCTGTCATTCACCAGCACCCCTCCGCCTGGCCATGTCTTTCTCTAGTCTTTTTCCTATGACGATAACTGACTGAACACCTGTCCTCTCCTTCAGCCACCTCAAGATATCCAGGTACAAAAACGTATGCATTACGAAAAGTCCTAAGTTAATTAGTTTAACAGTCACAATGCTACTGCTAATAACGTGCCGTTTATCGAGTGCACAATCTGTGGCAGGAACCGTGCTGGGCACTTTAACATGTTATCACCTCACTTAATTCTCCCAGTAACCCTGTGCTGCAGACTGCATTAGTCCCTTTTTATAGACGAGAAATAGACTTAGTGAGATGAATTTCCCAGAGTTCCATAACTAGCAAAATGCAACCTCTTTAGTCTACACTGATGACCTACAGACTATTTTTATTCAAGGCTAATAGTAAGAAAAAGTAAGAAAAAACAATTTACATCTTGACGCAACACAAATACACTCACACACACACACACACACACACACCAGTAAGTACCATGACGGATCCAATATTTTCTATGTTAACCTATTCATCCTCTTCATTCTTAAAATTCTGTCAAAGACCCCCTAAATTGAATTTATTACCCACTAATGGGTCACAATCCACAGTATGAAAAATACTGCTTTATATCCTTCCTTCATTTCTTTACCAAAAGCTTACTTATTTCAAATACGTCATGTTTCATACTAATCCTACTTCTATTTGTAGTTATTGAACAAGATATATATGTATTATAAATTGATTTCCCTCCTTAACAGAAGTGTCACTGTATATCTGATTCAAACGGACAAGGGTAATTTTTATAAACCAAAGGCAGAGCATTGAAGGCAATCTTGAGCTTTAAAAAAAAACCCCACCTGACTAATCCCCACTAACCAACTAAAGCCCGGCCAGCTGCAGGAGTAAGCAGTCCCAGCTTATGATAAAAGGCGTTCTGGCGTTGACCCCTGACATGACTATAACTTCCAGCCTTGGAGAACACCGCGCTTGAATTACGGCTGCATAAACTATGACCTAACTCATCCTGCCTGGTGAGCTAATCCTCTCTTCTGCGCCCCCCCTGATGGCAGTGAAATGATGTCATCAGCTCAATTTAACTTTCTCGCACAGAAAGTCAGCCCCAAACAAAAAAGAATAAAAAGTGCACACCATCACGTTCATTTGGAAGCACGTCGGAGGTATTATACACGTCCACGTATCAATATTCACTTATCTATGATCCTTCTGCATTTATAAAACTAAGGCGGATGGAATTTCATCAGCAGCTTTCGGAATGCTAAATATAGATCATTGGAGAATGTGGGTCTCACATGATTTTCTGTTTGCCTTCCCTGTATGTAACATGTATACTGAACATGAACACAAACAGATTTAAATGTGACACTCCTTTTTGGAAGAAACATGTTACTGGACTAAATTCATTTTTGTTTGACAAAATGAGTTGACTATTTCCCATTTTCTGTTCATGACATGTTGTAAACGGAAAGCTGTACCACGCATTTAGTTGTGTCACAGTTTTACATTTAAAAGAAGAAATAGTGGGCACAGGTGACAACACACAATGGAGAACTCACTGCCTTTTCCTCAGTTTCAGCCAAATTTGGGAGGGAAAATATACACTCTTGGCAATGATTTACAGGGTGCATCAAATTAAAAAAATAAAGCATCCAAAAACCCTTTTCACAATTACTTCACAACAACAAAAAAGTTATAGAGCTGGACTTCACTAAATCTTGAGATAGTGAAGTGAAGAAGCTCACAGGTTTGCTCCTGTTCCTAATGCCCATCCCTGGACCAGTCCACTATCTCCTCTGCAGCAAAAGGTGTTCATGTATTTTCACTTTATATTTTGAAAGCAGGCCCTGGGGCCTCAATCTGTCTTCATAGAGGTTATTTTTTACACCCTACTCGACCCTTTAGAATTTTTTTTCCTGCCCCTCAATCTGGCTGTAGGTCGTTCCCCCTACTTATCTCCCTCTGGGGAAGTTCACAGCCCCCACGAAAAGCCCTTTTCCTTTTAAGCCGTTTGTGCTCGTGGGTTCGCAGAGCACAAAGGAGGCCACGCAACGGCCAGCCGGCCAGCAAGCCTCGTCTCCGGGCCGCCGCTCCTCGGCGAGCTGAGGGGGCAAACGGACCCCAGCGCTCCTCAGGAGCAGGAACAGCCTCTGAAGAAGAGGCTCCGAAGTCGACGTCCCTTTAGCAAAGGCCGTCTCAACCCATCCATCCAATCCTCAGCGAAGCCCTCTTCAGTGTTAGAAGTGTACATGAAGCTAGGTCAAATGCACTCTTTCTTTTGCCTCGAATGGTCAGTATTCAGCTCAGAAGTTCATGTGATCGACACGCAATATGCAGGTTCTCTGACTCGCCCAAGTTAACTGTTTCCTTTGACTATCGCCCCACAAAAGTGAGGCAAGTGTATGCACATAGACACACACCATTTCTGTCCACACACCCAGAAACACGTATAACATATACTACGATAGACAACAAAGTACAAAACAAAGTGAAAAATAGGCACTGTAATTAGTCTGTTCTATTAGAAATAATTATCTTATACTTTGAGACCATGTTTCTGTTTTTACATGATTTCATATATATATAAACATTGTTCTCTTCAAAGCTTTAACCACAAAAATAGTAGGCGTTAGTCAAATTGAATATTGCCTACGACTATCATATTCTTCAAACACATGATTTTCATTACATTGAAATGAAACCATTTCTTTAAACCATACCCTAAAAAGTTTTGTTCTAATAGACACTTTTAATTGCAGTGTCTAGGTTCAATTATTAGCAAATAAGTTTTAGGTACATCTTCAATTATCGCCTCTGCTCCAGTTTATTTTCCAACACCTGCATTCCAGATAATGAAAATGGCAGGATTATCTCCACGGTTTCCCCTTTATCTAGTAAAAAGAAATTTTCAAAACTAGTAACATGAATTACATTTCTAAATTTATAAGGCAATAAAACACTGTGGCAACCTGGCTTCTCCACTTTTTCTTCAGGTTTAGCATGCAGAAACATATTAGGCTTGTGAAGCAATTTGTCACACAGTGTAATCACGTCTCATACTTCCAATGTCCGTATTAGTGGTCGCGATGAGTAGAATAATCAGGAGTAACAACAGTCATTTACTATCATCATACATTTCATGATATTTAGACTTAGCCTTTCAACTATGCTTGTCATAGGATAGTATTATTATTTTTTAATTTTTTATACTTGGACAAAATGGCAGCAAGATGGGACAGACTGGGTTATAAATCGATACGAAATGTAAAATAGATGGTGATTCCTCATAAAGCGAGGACAGGCAATCGGAAACAATCCCTGACAAGAGACCAGAGGCAGCAAAATCCCTCTAGGGTATGACATGCGTTTCATCTTTTTGGACATCGGCAGAAATACCCAAACAGTCAATTATAAGGAACAGGGCTGGAAGCGGGTCTTTGGGGGTGATGTTCTAAGAGCAGAACCAGCTCCGTGAAGGAGCAAGAGTAGCAACACTCCCGCCTGGGTCCCAGCAGCACTCTCACCCGGGGCTTATCTGATCCTGCGACTCCACCTCGGAGGGCAGAGCGTGCAATTTCAGAGAGCAAAGTAAACTACTGACGGTGATGGAGCAATTCATGGAGCAATTCCGGGAGGCAGGAGCTGAGGACAGACCAGCAAACTCCAAATTTGGGGCTCTTTTCAAAAGCAATAAAAACAAGAGCTGTCTCTATCAGTCCTGTCCAGCAGAATACTCTGCGATGAAATGTTCTACCTATGCATTGTTCAATACAGTAGTATTAAGTTGTTGAGCATGTGAAATGTGTCCCCCGTGAATGAAGAACTGATTTTTTGTTTTCACTGAATCTTAATGAATTTACCAAAATGTAGGTGACCCACTGTCTCCAGGTAGAGAACTGAGAGGTGGTTGAATTGCTCTCGGTTCCTTGAATAGACCTAGGCATGGGTATAAAACCACAGCATATGGAGAGAAGTCATGCTACCAAAACTTCTGT